TTTTGAAATATTTTTTTTAATGTTGTTCCTTATATATTTAACTTATTGCTATAACACTTTCTATCCCAAAGTCAGGACTAAACAGAGAAGTCATGACAGCTAAGGTTTGGGACGACATTAAATGACATCCCATTTTATGGCTGATAGTTGATTAGGCACATGACCAGAGATTGTTGAAGAAGATGACTTATGATAACAGTCAGTCAGTAGCACGTCCTTTGCAGAACCTTGCTTCCATAACAACCCTCCAGAAAACTTCTCGATCACAAGCAAGATGTCCTGCATCTGATACACCCATCTGGAGATCATTCGCCACATCCTGCACGCATCTTTTCTTTGGCCTTCCTCTTCCTCTCTTCCCAGGCATATACCCCTCCATTGTTGCTCTCCAAACGTTTCTGATGTTTCAAGTGACAAAAATATTTAAACTTTCTGTGTTTTATCATCTTTAATAGCCAACCTTCTTCACTATTTAGTTCTTGAAGTATGGATACATTTGTTCTTTTCTTTACCCGTGATATTCTTAGACCAGTCTATAACATGTGTATTCTGGAGAAGAACAGGCGGCTAGCACAATACCAAAATAACCTCTTATGTGATGAAAATGTGTTCCAGACACCATGTGCCTTAACGAAGATCACAACTGATGCTTAACTCTTTCAGTACCAAGTAACTCACAATGTGTTCGTTAATATTCTTTTCTTAACCCCTAACATTTTATCTAGTTGTTAACATGATTTTACTTTGTGCTAGTTATGACTGTCCACACTAGTGTTTCAAATTTGTTATTATTTCAACTCTTCAGATTTGACTAGTTATTAGTTAAGTAATAACATCTTAAGCTAGAAGGAGCTAAAGTTCAGCCTGTCTGAAACTGACAAAAGAAATTAGAAGACTGTTATAAAGCCACAGAGGTATTACTTTTACAGGAGCAAAGTAAATACTTTGTAATTACACAAACATAATTCAGATTTCATTAGCATGCTGTGATTAAATGTGAAGAAGTACAATTATATGTGGCACTTTGTTTGATGTACATGAATAATAGCCAATCCCACATGATATATTCAAAAATCACCATCCTGAAATGCAGTTATACATCATATAGGGCTCTCAGTCTATGCCTTCATTCCTTTATATTGTGTCCTTTTTTTTTCTCAATATGGGTGGAATCCAGCCCAGTAACTACGGCCTTTCTCATGAACATTTATCTTAGGAGTTTCCTTGGATGTCCTCATTTCCTTAGTTTATTACCTGGTACATTGCTAGGGATAAAAAGAGTTAATGACATTAAAAACCTACATTTTATTTTATTTTTTTTATTAATTAACATCTGATGATTTTTTTTTAAACATTTTAAATAAAGATTAATAAAATACTTGACTGTTTTCTTGTGAAATATTTGTGTGTGTTATATGAATAATATTTGTGGTATCAGTGTGTCTAATGTTTGTCATATTTACTATGCAGCTTTATCTTCCCTCTGTGGATTACAGGGCTCATTTGGGGGAGGGAGAGGAATAAATAGACCCACTGCTTCCCTGACATGCTTGGGGGAGGCGACTAATTAGGGATGTTTCATTCAATGTCAGAATGCCTCTACCTGAGAGACGAGAAACCAACAGTCTGTATACAAACAAGCTAGATCTGTAAAACAGACATGCACACAACTGAAAAAGAAAATTTTTGGGATTACTTCTGATTCCATATTGTAAACACCAGAAAAAGAACAATGGTTATAACCATGAAAGAAATTTCCTTAGTGAATCAGACATAGAATATCTATGTTGTTTATAGTTTGATGACCAATATAAGAATATTAAAAATATTCTTGGATCTATTTTTATTAAAAATAAAATATTTTTATTTATATATTTTACATGCAAAGGTTATCTTTGCTTATTTATTAAACTGCTGAAACTTACACAGAAGTCTAACATCCAAATTGTCAAAACTCCCACAGAAATCAAACATCATTGTTTGCCCATGCAGAAACTACATCAAGTTTGAATGTTTGTGCTAACTGTTAATTAAAATTTGAAATGAAGACAAGCCACAATACTTGGAGTTAGGACATATTGAGTAATAAATTGAATTAAAATGTCTTGCAATAAGAATGGCAGAGGCTCATGATAGCTTATTCTAGCATAAAATAAGACAGCTTTGCTAAATGCTAGAAGCAAAACAATATTTAATATTATTTAGTGGAGCAACAGAAATATAAAACTCACAGTATAACACCACTTCAATGTGTGACCCTCTAAAATGGGCCAATACTGATTGACTGACACCTTCCGGTCTTTCCAGACGACAGTGTTATATTGTGCTATGAGGAGGCATGGGACACAGTCCATGGCGATGGCGAGTGTGACTAGCAAGGCCCGCCGGTGTTTAGAAAAGTTTTCCACAGTTATCGCATAGGAATTCAGGACTGTTGTTGTCAACATTTGTGTTTAGGCTTTTTTTTCCCCCTCAGATGCTCAGCTCTTTTGCTTTATGCAATCATTTATCTATTCAATCTCATTCCCTTCCTGATGTGTCCTCTCCACACAACACAGTCCATGGCATTTTTTTTTTCACGAGTCCACCTAAATACCTGAATCATTCATGTCCCGTTTGCACATATCTTTATATCATATTAGAGGTCAGCCTCAACATCTACCCGTCTTTAATTCACCACAGAGGATGTCTATGGACTCTTCAATCCTCAATTCTCCAGGTGTGACTCAGCCACCTGAGCCTTCGTAGAATGCGCACATTTAAAAAAAAGTTTGAAATAGATGGCCCAGCAAACTGCAAAGAACAATGACATTTTGTCATCTCGTGAGCTTGCCTGGTCACACTTGCCATAACACAATGCAATACTTTCGTCTGGAAATGTGGGAATGTGACCAACTTTGTAATAAGAGGCAAACTATTGAAGGTTGATAGGAGACCATCTCACTCATAGACAAATGTAGCATTACTCTAACCAATAATAAACACGTTTACAAAAGGTTGTCTTCTTCTTCTTCTTCACGTTCACCAGCTGTACACTCTGGCGGAAAGTTCTGGTTGTTCGTCCACTACTGAACTGCAGTCCTGCTCCAGAACCTGAGTGTTGCGTGTGCATCAGTTTTACAAATCTCATTCTCTTGAATACAGACTGTTGGTTCCTTGCCTCTCCGGCAGATGCACTCCGACTTCAAAGGAAGCTCCCCAATTAGTCGACTCTTACGACATGCTTTTGGGTAGGCAGTGGGTCTATTCTTGTTTTCCCCTACAATGAGGCCCCGGAACCCACACGGGGGACAAAAGGTTGTGAACTGGTACAATGTTTTCTCAAATGGAAGAAGACTTGTTGTATCAAGACATTTACATACGCAAGCACCATTTTGTGAAGTCATGAGATTTCTTTTTTATCCCCACTTGCAATCTTTCTCTTTTCATGCATCCGTGTGAGGTAACTGCATTGTGCCTGTTGACAGCAGAGCTGCCAAATTTGTGCCTTTCGGCTAATACATCCGACTTCATTGAGCATTTGTTGACCGGATTAACTTTCCCGGATCATGTGCAATCTCATACCAAAAATTTTTCAGAATTGATGTACACTAGAACAGAGCCTCAGTCATGTAGCTCCCAAGATAGTACTGACATAAGCCAACTCAGATCAAACCTTGTTAATTGCCACTTTTGAATGTTGAACTAAGAATCGACATCACAGCACTTGAGACACTCCAATAATTGCTCAGACCCCATCTTCAGCATCAAGCGAAGAGTTCCAATTCCTATGGTAACAGTAACCGTCTGATTGTAAATCCGTCTCATCCTTTCCCTTAGTGTTGAGCGTCGGCCAGATCCCCTGGTAACTCCTCGCAGCCCCATTCTCCTTAGATATATCTGCGCCTCCGCACTGTTCACTCGCTCACAAGGGGCCCTCCCAATTTTGAGACATACGTGGTAGGTTACAGTGGTACAATTCTATGCTTCCTGAAAGGACCATGTAATACAACAGCGAAGGCCGCACTGGCAGAAAACCTTTACTGCCTTTATTTCTGTTAGAAAAAGTGTGTTGGTAGGCTGATGTTCTAGCCACTACACCACCACAGCCCATACAAGTAAACTTTTGGACAGATTGACAGTTTTGAAGAAGGTACGAAGTACCTGCTGACTACTGTGGATGGGATTATTGTATTGATCAAATATTGTGTAGACCCGGTAAGCCAAAAACAACTGTAATTGACCGACTTTCGTGTCTTCATTTCTCTGGTTCTGCATGTCAGTCCACACTCAGCTTCTTTTCTTACTCCACTTACCTAAGAAATACCTTTTGTAAAGTGGTTTTTCATTATATAAAATAGTGCTGAAATGAAGACTGACTTACAAAAGGTATTAGAAAGAGCTAGCTCTCTGTTCATTATATATATATATATATATATATATATATATATATATATATATATATATAATATATATATATATATATATATATATATATATATATATATATATATATATATATATATATATATATATATATATATATATATATATATATATATATATTCAATGCGGCGGTCTGTGATAGTTGATACCTAAATATTACTTTCGACTAGCTAGATCACTGAATGTGATTTTATTGACTTATATGGTCGATTTAATTATAATTATTTAACTATGGTGTTGTCACGTATTTGAGCCATCAATTGTCAAAATTTCCTTTCCTGTTCTTTATGTTGGACGGACTTGTAGTAGATTTTTAGTTTTAATTTGATATGTTTATAGTAATAATTACAGCTAAATCTAATTTTATCTAACCAAAATATCTCAAATGTTTATGCTATCTTTCTTGATTCGTTTAAAAATTCAACTAGCGATTTTTTTTTTAAAAGAAAATCATTTTAGCTTCTATCACACGGGACCTGGCATTTCCGGTTCTCAATAACTATTGTAAACAGAAGTCGAAAGCGAACGCGTCTTGACTTCTTTCTGTTGGCGATATTTTAATTTATTTAGAAACAATGGCAACTCAGATGGAAGTAGATCAACCAAATGTTGGTGTCATGGCATCTCCTGGTACGACAGGCAGTGTAACAGTCGCTCTTCACCCTTTGGTAATAATGAATATATCTGAGCACTGGACACGAGTCAAGGCGCAAGAAGGGAAACCAACCCAGGGTAAGACTAGACCGACTGAGAAGATGCTAGCCCATATCATATCTTCTTCAAGTGACGGGTCGGTTATGTGAACACTGTCATGTCGTCTGTCGTTCTTATTCTTTTGTCTTTTTCTCCTCTACTCTGAACCAGCTCTTGATTAGCCAGCTCTTGATTAGCCAGTCCAGAGCCTGGTCTCTGACACTGACTCTCTCATCTCATGCTCATTTCTTTGGCACAGGTGGTATTCCATTGCAAAGACATTTCATTGTGGTTATGGATGCTGTTTGTGACAGACAGCAGATAAATATGCACCTAACTAGACACCAAAATGTTGAGTAAAGAGTAGAAAGTTGAAGCCCGCAGTTTAAATTTTAAAGTGCCCAGTCACCAAGACCACAGCAATATCTCTTCATTATTGTTAACTAAAGGAACAAAAGTACTTTGGCACTCGACCAGCCAGGTTTTGTAATTCTGAAAGATGAAGGACAGCATCGTTCAGCAGATCTGGGTTTCAATCTAGTGTTACTATAATCTGATTTTTCCAGTTATCTCTTTTTCATAAAATCTCTTATCTGTTGCTATGGCTTAGAGCCTTAGAACAGTAAGTTTTAAAGTACTAGTACCACAAAGGAATCAGGCCTCCCCAACATGCATGTCATAAGAGTTGACTAATTGGGAGCTTCCTTTGAAGTCAAAGTGCATCTGCCTGAGAAGCAATACCAACAGTCTGCATACAAAAAGTCAGATCTTTAAAACAAATGTGCATGCAACAGTCGTGTTATGGAACAGGACTGGAGTCTAAAGGTGGGAGTCTACAGGCAGTGAACATGAAAAAAAAGAAGAAGAGAGATTAGTTCTGACCCTATGGAGTTCTGTCAGGCAGAGACAGCCCTAGGTTCCCCTGCTTCAGATGTGTTCACTTAGTATGACTGGTGGTCGGATACTTTGTCCAGTTTGGTCAAGACACAGGGATAGGGTGTGAGCTATTGACCAGACTCTGCTGTGGAATACCAAAGAAAAGAAGGAGAAAGAATTTCACATACCCATTGCAATGCCATATTAATATTAGCCACAATAGCATAATGGCCAGATACTCACCTGTTGACCCAAAATTCTTGGGTTTGAATCGTTCGAAATCTGAGCGTATCTGCCTGAGAGGCAAGGAGCCAACAGTCTGCACACAAATAAGCCAGATCTGTAAAATGGATATGTATGCAGAACTCAAAGTTCTGGAACAGGACCAAACCAGAGAAGTGGATGAACAACTGAAACTTTCTGTTGGAGTTTACAGACGATCGACGTGAAGAAGAACAATTTGCTTTTGGCAGTCTTTGTGTGTTTGAGTCATGGGTCATAGCTCACTGGTCAGTTAGTTGCATATCCTTTACAGGACATTGCAGAACCGATCCCAGCATTTTTTGTCTCTTGTGGTTTTTCTAGGCAAATTATACATTCTGTAATTTGCTATTGCTTTCTGAACGATCAGCTCTTGGTACCACTGTCGAATCAACAAACTGTCCGCAGCTGGGATTTACCCCTGCATTATAGAGCGCGTTTGCAACACCTAAGACACAGGCCCAGTTAACCTAACCTAAAATGGGTATCAAGACATGTCTTGGGAAGTAAAAGCAGCATGATGTTGATCAAATCACCCACAGAGTGCCGATTGGTCTATAAAAAAAATATGAGTCTACCATCAAATGCAGGATGCAACACTGGTAGATCAGGGTCTTTTATTTTTTAGTTACAATAGCAGTGTCTTCCATGGAATTACTTTTACTTTTTAAATATACTTTACAGTACTGGGAGCACTCATTGGCCAGCAGAAGGGAAGAAATATTGAAGTGATGAATTCCGTAGAGCTTGTTTTTGATGTCGTCAATGGAGACATTGTCATTGATATGGATTACTACAATTTGAAAGAAGGACACTGTAAGTATTGACATGAATTACTGCAGTTTGATAGAGAGTCAGTGTAAGTATTGAGAGGGACAGTGTAACTTTTGAGAGGGTCAGTGTAAGTATTGAGAGGGATAGTGTAAGTATTTAGAGGGTCAGTTTAAGTATTGAGAGGGACAGTGTAAGTGCGGACATGGATTACTACAGTTAAAAAAAGGAATAGTGTGTCTATGATAAATTAAAGAGTTGGTATTGAAAACAAGATAGTATGTGTATATATATATATATATATATATATATATATATATATATATATATATATATATATATATATATATGTGTGTATGGAGTGTGAGGATTGTGTGATTTTGTGATATAGAAGGAAAGTGAACAATGGAAACTTGAACATTAGTTGGAGTATTTCAAATCTGACTTATATATGAAAGGATTAGTGTTTAACATGTGATAGTGTATCAGATAAATGGGAAGGCTGGACACATATGAAGCAGAGGAATAATGAAAGTCAGAGTATATGAGATAGAATAGTTTCAGCATGTGAGAAAAGATAGTGTGGATTTTTGAGACAGAAGGGCAGTGCAAGTTTTTCAAGTAGAAATCAGGTTTTAGGTTTAAACAACAGATCAACATCATGGCACAAGGGTAGTAACCATAAGTGCTTCGTTCTACTGCAAACTCAAGCCTGAGTTCCAAAGAATCTCAGCGCAATGCACAAACTCCTTAGTACCTAACCAGCACTATTAAGTAGAAGAAGGGCATTGTCATTATGTAAAATAGGATATTATAGGTAGGTGAGATATAACAGTTTTATCATGCGATATAGAACAGGGATCGAATTTTTTGTTAGAACACGGTTTATACATTGGATAGGACAGTCTAAGTATGAGTTATCAGATAATTAAGTGCATGAAATATGACAGTGTCTGTGCATTTGAATAGGTGTGAGAAGGGAAATTGATTATAAAGTACGTAAAATACAGTGGAACCTTGCTTAACGAGCATAATTCATTCCAGAATGATTCTCGTTAAGCGAAACACTCGTTATGCGAATTAATTTTTCTCATATAAATTAATGTAAAAAAAGATAATGCGTTCCATGTCAAAAAAAAATACTCTCAAAATGTTGTGTATAACGTTTTATTCCAAGAAAATTATATACATATTGTTAAGGAAAGTGAATCATCTTCATCTTTTCTTCAAACGCGTAACGAACCCACCTGGAATGTGAATTCGATTTGCGGGGGGGGGGGGGGGGGGGGGAATTCTAAATAATTTTTATACATAGCTATTTAATTTTTACTAGAAAAATGTCTAGAGACATTTGATTTTGCTGACGCTTCAAAATTTGGTGAAAATGCGACACAGCATTATCATTAAATAAATTTGCAGTGCGCCAAGCCACTTCCTTATTAGGGTGATGCTTCTTAATGTAAGATGCAAGTTTCCCATGCTTTCAGCATTTCTTTAATTCGCCAGAAGATATTGCTTTTCTGTTACCTATTCCTCTGACAAACTTTCCTCCAAAACTTCTTGTTGTGAAAAATAAGCTCTTCGGTGGTCAGCTGTTGGCTGTGCTCTTCCACAAGCTCTTTGATATCACTGTTATCCACCAACAATCCCATGATAGTGGCCAAAGACACAATCTCGTTGACTACAGGTTCCACATGCACTGTCTCGAACCCTTTAAAGTTACAAATCGACAATGCTCTCCGGCCAAAGCTTCTTCCAAGCAGAAGTTAGGATTCTCTTGGTAACCCCTTCCCCTGCTTTGTCGATCATCTTGAGGCAGGCAATGATGTGGAAGTGATTTTTCCAAAACTCTTTGAGCGTGAGGTTCATCCCTTCAGTCACCTGAAAACAATGCTCGAAGAGTGCTTTAGTGTAGAGCTTCTTAAAGTTAGAAATAACTTGCTGGTCCATGGGCTTCATCTACATATATGACAATATAACACAGGTTTGAGGAAATGTGTGATCACAAGCGCAATACGATGCTACTGAAACAAGTGCTTAACACAGACTGATCATGAAACATGCTCGGTGTAACGAGGAATGATAGACTTAGGAACGGTGATATCAAGAGGAGAGTCAGCACAGAACCAATACTGAACTTTATAGATAGACAACAAATCAAATGGTTTGCCATGTAACAAGATTGGCAAAGGACTGGGTGCCACAGAGAGAAGTGTTATACAGATCCAGAGGTCAACCACGCAGAAGATGGACCACAGAAATATCAGAGACCAGAAAAGTACTTTATACAAAGCGAACAGAAGGGCCGATTCCAGAGATCTCTTCCTGCGCTGATGCTGCGAGACATTACAGGAGTAGAGAAAAATAAGAAGTTAAATACTGTACGAAGCGAACAGAAGGGCCGATTCCAGAAATCTCTTCCTGCTGTGAGGCATTAAAGGAGTAGAGAAAAGTAAGAAGGTAGATATTGGAACTTGCAGGTGGGAAAAACAACGGTGGCTTATTTAGAGTAGAGGTATTTTGTTGAAATAAAAAAAAATCTTAATTTTCATCACTTCCTGTTTTTGTCACTTCAGGTTTTGAGAAGATTTAAAGTGGTTCTGCTTTTACTCCTCCGGTCGCCTTAACCATAGACATGCCATATTGTTGTTGAGCTTTTGTGATGTCACATTTCTATCCTGCTACTATCCTCCTTAGACTGTACATCTCTCTCCTCCACCAGTGTATGCCCTACGTGGCATGGCATCACAAGGCATTCTTTCTCTGTGGACAAACCATTTGAGTTTACACAAGATACATGTATTTATGTGAAATGGCTACGCATTACAGTATTAGTATGGAAAGGATAAAGGAGTTGGATGAGCCATAGCCTGAGAGAGATTACAAGTGTGTCAAAAGAAAATATGTTAGAGATCAGCGCAGCCATCTGTGTGGGATCCAGGGTCCCCGACCAATTACAAGGGGACAAAATGGATAGACCCTCTCCCTTCCCAACAAGCATGTCGTAAGAGTCGACAAATTTGGGTTTTCTTTCGAAGTCGGATTGCATCTACCTGAGAGGCCAGGAACCATCAGTCTGCATACAAATAAGCCAGATGTGTAAAATAGATGTGCAGGCAAAACTCCAGTTCTGGAACAAGACTAAATAAAGTACAGGGGTGGATGAAATCCAGAATGTTCCGCCAGAGTCTACAGCCGGTTAGTGCGAAGAAGTACTGTCAGCTTTCATTTTGTAGATGCTGCCTGATTAGTTGATTGCATAATACGAGGGAAAGTCAATAGGTAAGTCACAAGTGGTTATGGGATGGCAGGAAAATGTAGCTGGTAGTTTCTACAGATGTAATTAGGTGACAGCAACATCAGACTTTATGTCTCAGTTCGTTAAGTGGCGCTAAGTGTTGCAGTAGTGACTGTACTACTGGAGTGTACCCTCAAAGAACAACATGCTTTTGTGAGGTTTTTTAAAGGCAAAATGGCTGCCTGCAAAGGGCATTTGTAAGGAAATTCTTCCTGTTTATGCTGACAAATGTTTATTCTATAAAACTGCATAGCTGTATATAAAAAAAAAATCTCAAGGACGCTGTTAAATTGGTGATCAAGTCTGATCTGGTCGTCCTGTTGAGACTGCATCAAACGCACCTGTGCAGCAGGTGGAGGAGATGATTAGACGTGACAGGCGAGTAACGGTTGACTCTGTAGCAGCTGCAATAGGGTGCTCACATGGTTCAGCATACAACATAATGCATGATCGATGGAAATTTAAGAAAGTAGGCTCATGGTGGGTACCCAGACAATTGAAGGACGAACGCAAAATGAATCGATTAGGCCTGTCCTTGCAGCATCTTTGTTGTTACGCAAATGAAGAAGACATGCTGAACAGGATTATTACTGGAGACGAATCATGGGTGCATCGCTACAAGCCTGAATCAAAGCTTGCTTCATTGCAATGGAAACATCCTTCTTTGCCTTGTGTTAATAAATTCAAGGTTGCGCCATCAGCAGGGAAAGTTATGCTGACAGTGTTCTGTAATTGTCAAAAAGTGCTTTTAATCAATATTTTAAAAAAGAGGTGATGATGTGAATGTTGATTCATACTGTAAAGTTCTATTGATGCTTTGTGATGCAATTCAATGAAAATATCCAGGCCTGCTGACTAGAGTTCTGCTCCTTCGTTACAATGCCAGACCACATATGGCTCAGTTAATTCAGGAGAAAATTAGCCATCTAGGGTGAGAACTTCTGGAACATCCATCTTACAGCCCCTAGCGATTTCCACCTTTCTGGTCCACTGAAAACCCACCTTGGCGGGAGACATTTCGCAAGTAACCCAGAAGTTGAGTGTGAAGTGAAAATATGGTTTAGAAAACATCACACAGTTCTATGCAGCAGGTTTGGGAGGACTGATAAAACGAATGGACAATTGCATCAATGTTGATGGAAATTATGTTGGAAAATAAAGGGACAGTGTTTGTGTAAAAATAAAGTTGTCAAGTTGTTATCATCTTTAGTTTTTTTTTTTTTGTTTAAACAACTATTTGTGACTTTCCTATTCTCTCCCATGTATATAAGATGTTAACTGTATTATCATTGTGTGTTTTCCCATTGTTTGCATTATTGTTCCTGATTGTCTTCAGACAAACAAGTCTTCAGTGAGATGGACTTTCTAGGCTGGTACTCAACTGGTGATGGTCCCACAGAATCTGACATCAAAATACACAAGCAGGTTAGGCTAGGGCTTATGATTAAGATCTTTCTGTGTTTGTGGCTAAGGCATTGCAACGCTTTTTGTAATTCCAAGATAACCTCTTTCGATTCCACAGTAATTTCGCGGCAGATCTCTTTGCAGTCATTTCAACGATGATATTGAGAGCTGATCACTCAGAAAGCGATCATAAACTACTGAACGTAAAATTGCCTAGCAAAAACCAACAGGCCCCCCCCCCCCCCCCCCCCAAATGTTGAGGTTGACCTTCTTTAATGACCTGTAAAGAATGTGCAACTAACTGTAACTGTTGTCTCATTGTTTTGAAAGAGACAAAGACACATAGGAAACGTCACTGTTGTCAGAAAAAAATCATCACCACTTTTTGGCCACATTGTGAGATAAGAGAAACTGGAAACTTTTGTGACTCTTGATTAAATTAATAGGAAAACAGATTGAGACAGAGTTACAAGTCAGGCAAACAGCGTTAGAAATGAGGCAAACAGATGTGAAGCATAGAGATTCAGATGTGAGGCAAACAGATTTGGAATTGATGCAGGCAGATGGAGATATTAGGCAGAGATTTAGACGTGAAGCAGAGAGATTCAGAAGTGAGGCAGAAAGTGTTCAGATGTGAGGCAAAGAGATTCAAATGTGAGATGGAGAGATTCAGACATGAGGCAGAAAGATTTAGGCGCGAGGCAGAGAGATTCAGACATGAGGCAGTGAGATTCACATGCGAGCTAGATAGAGTTAGAAGTGAGACAGATAGATTTGGAAGTGAGGCAGTATTAGAACTTATATCAGCCATGAATTGTTACCTGCTTCTAGAGAAGAGGAATTGTTGTGAGGTATAATTGCATGTATGATTAGGCTAGGCACTTGACAATGGTGTCAGTATTCATATTTTACCCCCTACAGTAGATTTTAGAACAGTTTAAAAAGTAAGTATAGAACCCATCTTCACACCTTGAAGTGTATGGGCATATAGTGCCAGGCTTATATTTGTATGGACCAACCAGAGGGTACACTATTATCTACAAGCTTTAAGATACTACTGGTGGTACTGCTAAACAGGCTAAAACCATACGTTGAAGACATTGTGAGATTACCAAGCAGGTTTCTGACAACAGATAAACATTGGATCAGATATTCATTTTAGGGCAAATAACAGAGCAAAGTTGGGAATATAGAAGAGATGTACATAATGTTTTTGTGGATGTTAAAAGGGTGTATGATAGTATACATAGAAACAGTTTATGGAATGCTATGAAAGGCTTTGGAATCCCAAGAAAGTTAATCACCATGACAAAACTATGTATAGAAGACACTTATAATATAGTAACATATAAAGGTAGAAAGTCAGACCCTTTTCAAATAACCTCTGGTTTAAAGCAAGGTGATGCTCTGTCCCCACTTCTATTCAACTTGTGCCTGGAGAAAATTATAAGGAAATTGAAACGAGTGAACTACAGGAGAAACTACAAGAATACTTGGTTGTGCAGATGATATTGTGGGGACAGAGTGTGTTGGAGATCAGTTGCAGCTGACTGACATTGTGGGAACAGAGTGTGTTGGAGATCCATTGAAGCAGTGTGTTTGAGATCCATTGCAGCTGACTGACATTGTGGGGACAGATTGTGTTGGAGATCCATTGCGGATGACTGACATTGTGGGGACAGAGAGTGTTGGAGATCCATTGCGGCTAACTGACATTGTGGGGACAGAGTGTGTTGGAGATCCATTGCAGCTAACTGACATTGTGGGGACAGAGTGTGTTGGAGATCCATTGCAGCTAACTGACATTGTGGGGACAGATTGTGTTGGAGATCCATTGCAGCTAACTGACATTATGGGGAAAGATTGTGTTGGAGATCTATTGCAGCTAACTGACTTTATGGGGAAAGATTGTGTTGGAGATCCATTGCAGCTAACTGACTTTATGGGGAAAGATTATGTTGGAGATCCATTGCAGCTAACTGACATTATGGGGAAAGATTGTGTTGGAGATCTATTGCAGCTGACTGGCTTTATGGGGAAAGATTGTGTTGGAGATCCACTGCAACTGACTGACATTATGGGGAAAGATTGTGTTGGCGATCCATTGCAGCTAACTGACATTATGGGGACAGCATCTGATGGATTGAGAATGTCATGGATAGAGAAGAAAATGTATGCTGATGTTTCTTACTGGAGGCATTACTATTCACTCATCATGATAATAAGGAAAAGATAAAGGAAATTTCTGTGGCATGTCAACAGAGGAGGGTTTATTAGGAAAATTAGCTTCTAGTGCAGAAAATATTAAACTAGAGAGGAAAGGAAGGTGGCTTAAAATGGAAACCTTAAAAGTGTGATAGAAATTACAGTAACTATGTGATAGTCTTGTAACTAGTCAATATTGTTGTCAAGAGTGTCAAGTGCAGCCAAACAAGATGCTATCATAATGGCAGTTTAAAGGTGGCCACCCCATTTCTGCATGAGAACCCAGTGTTTTAACCACTTGCATCTTAGGATGGATGAACTTCATCTATATATAAAGAAAAATGTGTGGTGACCGAATTTTCAAAATGTCTGTCATAAAGGCAAAATTTTAATTCAAAGATTTCAACTTTTCAGTTTTTCTCCATCAACGAGAGCCCAATTTTCCTTCAGTTAAACCCACAGGCTAGAACTTCAGATGTAAGTAGAACTTAGATTTGATTAATTTAAATAGCATTTTGTTAACAGTTAACTATTTTGGTGCAACTTCTGCTTTGGATGCAATGACCATAACAGCAGCCTTGCACAGAATGACTAAAGGTTAAAGTCGAGAGGACCGGCTTCATTGCACCGGGTTTGATCCCATATGGCTCAGTCCCTCTCTGCAGAGCAACTAGCTGATCCCCAGGGATCTCCATAAAAGTTGCACTCCTGAACTGAACGGCTCTGCAATGAAACGACCCCACACCCTTCACAGCGCAAGGCAAAAGGCTCGACCACTTCGCCACGGAAACCCCCGCTCAGAATTATTTTATCACAACTGACATCACTGCATATTGGGCATACCCATGCATGCTCAGTCTTCTGATGCAACAGCCAGACTACCTGTAATGATTGTTCCCATGATTAGATCGTTATAATGTCTCCTATCTTAACTTGAAGATTGCATAGACATGCTTTACCAAGCTCTACTCCCTGGTCATGCACTTGGTTTAGCACCAGATTTTCATCAATTTATGCCAGACTAGTCCATAGAGCGTTTATGATGTCGGCTCTGTCCATGCTTCTTCCCATATACATTGGTGCATTACCTTTTACTTCGGCACGTCCAGGTAGAATGACACATATTAGTGTCAAGCGGGCAGGGACTTGCCAGACGTAAAGACATTGAAAGAGACAAAGGACAGACTTGTGAATCAAATGTCAAACTGTTGTTGTCACATAAGAGACAATTCTCAAGAGGAGATCTGGACACCACTGATTTTGCCAGTGCTCTGAGGTTATTGGCAGCTGCCATAGTGTAGCGGCTAAATGTTCGCCTGTAGATCCTAAGATTGCATAGACATGCTTCACCACGTTCTACTTCCTGATCATGCACTTGGTTTAGCACAAGAGATTAATCATTATTTGCCAGACTAGTTCATACAGTGTTTATGATGTCAAGTTTTTAAGTCCTGAGAGAGCCAGACTGTTTTCCTAAATGACGGCAGCTCCCAGGTCGACCCAGCCTTAAATAGGTACTGTTAAATTCATGGGTAGTAAATGCGGCTGGCGTGTTTTTAATATCACCCACCAAGTGCTGATTGGTCTGTAATATATATATATATATATATATATATATCTAGCTCTAAATACCCAGTACACCTGAAGGTGTAGAAACGGGTCTTTTTCTGTGATCATTGTGCCCATTTTGACAGCCACAGTTTCAGTAACCTTAGCTTGAATAGCCATAAGGGATTTCAACAGCTTTTCAAATTATTATATAAGTCGTCCCCTCGTGGGATGCAATTTGTTGTTGTTTCGAAGCCCCACCCTGGCTTTTTCCGGAGGGCCATAAATATGGCCTAGCCTAACTGCTGAAAGGGGTTTCTGGGACCTCTCCACATGTGATGCTCAACCGCATGGTGACACTTTGTGTGTTTATCACGGGTGTGATGTCCTGGTGGGGATACAACTACCTACCTACCTTAAACAGCTTTTTATAGTTTAAAAAGCTGTAATTAGTTTTAATAACCTTAATCAAGCATTAACTGGTGGCAGGATTATCTTTACTGTAAACAAACAGATGTTTGTGTATGTCTGCCTCACTACGTATTCTCTATGTATTCTATGTGAATGAATTAAAAGCACATTGTTTATAATTTGTGTTTTGAAAACAAACAATACATTAGTTCAATCAACTGTTCTCAATTTTGTAGTAAAAAAAAAAAATGTTGTCATTAATTATTTGTTTTGGTTTTTTATTGTTCTTAAGCTACCCATCTTCATGTTTGAGTCGGTGATAGACCTAGTCAAAGGAGAGGTAAGTTTGCTTTTTGCCTTTTTTTTTCCCCCTGTATTAGCTCTTAGATCCATGTCTTTAAAATAGATGTACACACAAAACTGAAGTTCTGGAACAAAAGTCCAGGCGTGGATGAACAAGCAGATCTTTATGTCAGAAATTGCAGCTGGTAAATGCTGAAAAGGAAAGAAGAAGCTCTGTTTTCAGATCTTTTTATAATGTTTTCAGATCTTTTTATTTATCCTTTTTTCTCTCTGTTTTCAGATCTTTTTATTTTTCCTTTTTTTTCTCTGTTTTCGGATCTTTTTATTTTTCCTTTTTCTCTCTGTTTTCAGATCTTTTTATTTATCCTTTTTTCTCTGTGTTTTCAGATCTTTTTATTTATCCTTTTTTCTTCGGTTTTCAGTTCCTTTTTATTTATCTTTTTTTTCTCTCTTTTCAGTTCTTTTTATTTATCCACATAGTGATATATGCTTATTGTTACAGTCAACACCGAGCATTGTTTTCACATTTATCAGTGCAATTATAAATCTTTTATCAGTCAGTTTGACTGAATGTTTTCTTATCAGGACCTTTCCATATGTTCGGTCATCTGCTGTGCTGTTTAAACTAATCTACATATAATTTATTCTGCCACTCATCGGTTTCTTATTTCTAAACCATACTCTTGATATTTCATTCTTTTGTGCATGAGGCGAAAGACTGTGTTTCATTTGTGGGGGAGGGGAAGGGGTGTGTAATTAGAGCAACATTCTATATAGAACCTGCTATGTTGTGAAATCAAGACACACACATATGTTACGGTCTAATATGACAGAAAGGTGGGCATTATAACCTTTGCATGTTTATTTGACCTTGACTCCCAGGTCGACCCAGCCTTGAGTGGGTACCGGGTGCAGTCCCCGGAAGAGGAGGTGGCCGGCGTGATGCTGACCACATCACCGAACTTGTGCCGATTGGTCTATAAAATATAGGTCTAGCCCTATACGCCTAAAGGCGGGGGAAAAGGGTCCTTTTTTTTTTTTATTTACTGTGTTTTTTTGTGTGTGCTTCTGATCATGATTTGCTGTTGTGTTTTACCTGTACCTGAACTAAAAGTACGTAGTTCCCTCACATGGCTACTAAGTTGAGTGCATGCTGCGACAGTAGATGTCACTTTGGATGCTTTTCACCCTGCTTGCCCAGTGTGGTTTGTTTTGAGAACTGCAGATTCTGAAAATAGCAGTTGCCACAGAAATCGTGGTGCCTCATGCAGTATTGCTTGTGTACCTGCTGGTTTGCTGTAACTGCTGCTTTCATCGGTGGTGGATTTTTTTGTGCTTGCATTTTTGGCTTTGCTGGAGTAATTATAGGATGCCCAATCGCCGTGAAGTTAAAACTGTGACTAATGACTAGCTGTGTATGTGCGCACGTGTGGGAAGTAAGGGGGGGTGTTGAATATCATTAGAGTATGTGTTGCCCTTAAATCAGAAGTGTTTTGTTTATATTTGCATGTCAATATTTACTCTTATGTTTGCAGCACAGATATAGAGAAACAGTCATTCTTTTTTGTCACATTAAACAGGTAGAAAAACTAGAACATTTTGATGTAAAGAAGCATTTCCCACATGGGTTCCAGAGCCCCATTTTAAGGAGAAAGGGTGGGGGGGAGAATGGACGCACTGAACCCTGACTAGCTTTCTGTAAAAGGTATTTAATTATGGAAGTTTCCTTTGAAGTCAAAGCACAATTAACTGTATAAGTTAGATTTGTAAAATGGAGGTGCACGCAGAATTCAAGTTCTGGAACGAGACCAAAGTCCAGAAGTGAATGAATAAGCAGGACTTTTGGTTGGAGTTGGAGTTTACAGCTGACGGATGCCAAGAAGAAGAAGAAAGAAGCATGATTCTCCACGCTAATCAGCAAGACACTTGATGATGCTGATTGCATATATTTCATGTATTATATAAGCTATAGAACATAGCCATGGAATACCCCCATTACCTCTAAAAGTCTGTTTTCAAGGTTTCTCTGCAGAACCGGACCCTATTCTTAATTTATTTCACTTACTGATTCTGTATATCATTGTCTACTCTACAGTGTATATATACTGTTTATGTGTTAAATCAGTGTCTTTACATAAAAATGTCTTCAATGTTTCCAGGCAACAGTTTTGTTCGTCGAGATCCCATACACGCTAGCAACAGAGGAGGCAGAGAGGATCGGGGTTGATCATGTAGCCAGGATGTCAACGGCTGAAACAGGAGACTCCTCAACTGGTTTGTCAACAGTTTTGTTGTTGTTGTTTTTGGTGTTGGTATCCCTGGGTTTTGTTTTTGTTGGAGAAATAGGAGGCTCCTGTACTGGTAGGTGGGTGGTTTGTTCCCTCCAGGATTAACACCTTAAGGATAAGGATCCCACATGTGCAAATCCTGGTGAGCCCTGTTCAGCTGTAAGGTTATATACTGCATCCCTATACTGGTTTGTCAACAGTTTTTTCTTTCTACACATTCTTTGTTGGAGAAACAGAAGACTCCTGTACTGGTGTGTGAACCTTTCTTTTCTTTGTAACCTTAGACATGATCTTTGTGGGTTATGAGCATTCAGAATGAGGTTCTTTCTGTCTGGCCTTTGTCCATGATTGCTAACCGCATGTTAGAAATGGGTGTAATAAGTAGGTTAAGTAAGAGACAGGTGTGAGTCTTTTGAGTCAGGTATGCCTATACGAAGAGCATAAATGATGAAGACTTGGGGGATATGGCTTTTCACTTCAACCAGAGCATCAGAACAGCTTCAGTACCCCAGGATTCGGTACACAGCTACCTAATCCCACTTCCAAAACCAGGCGAAGATCATTCCAGACTCAGCGGTTTCAGGATTATGATCCTACAGACTATTTTTGGCAAGGTGCTAAAGAAGATTATTGCTGTTAAACTACAAATATTTTTTGAAAGGGAAGAGCTCCTGACAATGAGCTCCATTGACAAAGTTTTTTTTTTGTAGTTACCGTTCATGGAAGGAACCTGGCCAAATGCAGCTACTTTTGTTTTCATGTTTATGAGGGGTTCTAGAATAGACAGGAGGTTGTAGTGGCAGCACTTGATCTTGAGGATGCCTACAGTAGAGTTAGATATGATATTTTGAAAATCTTTGTTCTTTGAGAAGGGTTCATGGCCGGTGAACTGGATAGCAGCTGTCCTGCATTCACATATGGTTGCCCTTCGCCTGAGTACATGGACCTCAGAATCATGTGATATCCCCCCAAGACTACCCAGGGTTCTGCAATTTCACCAGTGCTCTTTAATGTGTATACAAGCAAGGTTGCAGAACGTGAAGCACTGTTTGAGGAGAATAAGTCTGCGAGGAGTTACCAGGGGATTTGGCTGACGCTCAAGGAAAAGATGAGACGGATATGCAATCAGGCAGTTGCTAGTGCCATCGCAATGGCATTCACATGTGCGTTTGTATTGGAATGTGTGAGTGTGTGCATTCACATGTGCGTTTGTATTGACATGTGTGAGTGTGTGCATTCACATGCATGTTCATATTGGAATGTGTGAGTGTGTGCATTCACATGTGTGTTTGTATTGACATGTGTGAGTGTGTGCATTCACATGTGTGTTTGTATTGACATGTGTGAGTGTGTGCATTCACATATGTGTATGTATTGACATGTGTGAGTGTGTGCATTGACATGTGCATTTGTATTGACATGTGTGAGTGTGTGCATTCACATGTGTGTTTGTATTGGAATGTGTGAGTGAGTGCATTCACATGTGTGTTTGTATTGACATGTGTGAGTGTGTGCATTCACATTTTTGTTTGTATTGACATGTGTGAGTGTGTGCATTCACATTTTTGTTTGTATTGACATGTGTGAGTGTGGGCATTCACATTTTTGTTTGTATTGATATGTGTGAGTGTGTGCATTCACATTTTTGTTTGTATTGACATGTGTGAGTGTGGGCATTCACATATGTGTTTGTATTGACATGTGGGTGTGTGTGCATTCACATATCTGTTTGTATTGACTTGTTTGAGTGTGATCAATCACATCTGTGTTGATATTAACAAATAGTTTCTGTTACATTGACTTTTGTACATATTTTTTTTTTCTTCAATTCCCTTAATTTTTCACATGCATGACCCAATCTTGTTAGAGGTTTCAGTCTGACTATTTTTCAAATCTATGTTTATTATTAGTGTGTTTTTTTTTTCTTTAGCCGAACATCTTTTGGCACAACACAGTTCTATCAAAATGTTGCACAATCGCATCAAAATTATACTTGCTTACATTCAGGCTACCCAGAAAGGTTAGTGCTCATAAATTTATTGATTTTTGCCAGAATTGTTCTGTGTTCATCAGACTGTTGTTTGAGATTACAGATGTAATAGATAGATTTAGAGAGAATTGTTAATTAAATTCATGACAAAAATACATATTCATGTGGCTTAATCGTCTTATTTAGTTCTGTGGGTGCTATCGACATTTCTTCTTCTTCATGCTCACTGGCTGTAAACTCCAGGGGAAAGGTGTTCGTCCATCTCCAGACTTTAGTCCTGTTGCAGAACCCTGCATGCACATCTGATTCATCTTATTTGTATTCAGACTTTAAAGGATGTCCCCAATTAGTCGACTCCTACAGCATACTTGTTGGGGAGGCAATAAGTCTATTCTTGTTTTTTTTTTTCACAGTACGGCTCCGCAACCCTCAAGGGGGCCCCATCCACATTGAACACTTTTACTGTGGAGTGCTTCTAAAACAGTGTCACTTTCCTTCACTCATACCTGGTAGTACCTCATAACAAGCACTGCTGCAGTTACTTGTCCCTGATTAACTTAATTAGTGGCATTGGTTCTGTTTGTGCCTGCGCAGAGTTGAGGAGGCCCTTCATGGTGTGCAGTGGTTGGTGAAGGAAGTATGGACAGGGCATTCACTGCTGTGTTCATGTTTATTGATTACTCTTCTAATTTATTTCACTAAAAATTTAAACAAGTAAATTGAAAAGTAAACAAAAACATATTAGGGACCTGTGTTAAATGGTTGCTTTTTACAGGGTTTCTGTTGAGAGTATCCAGACTATTTCTTGTCTTTTTCTTAAATCCCAAGGTTTGCAGAGGCGAAGGGTTAAATTATCATTATCTGCATGTTGGTTCCAGCGCCCCATTTTGGGGGAAAGAGAATAGACCCGCTGCCTCATAACAAGCGTGTCATAAAAGGTGACGAATCGGGATGTTTCCTTTGGACTCAGAGTGCATTGCATGAGAGGCAAGGAACCAACAGCGTGCATTAAAGTGAGCTAGATCTGTAAAGCGGATGAACACATGAATCTCAAGTTCTGGAACGTCTAGGAGCGAAGACAAACAACCAGGATTTTTCACAGGTGTACAGCCTGTGTGCGGGAAGGAGAAGAAGAAGAAATTATCATGAGACACCATCAACATATGCCTTTTCAGATATTACACCTGTTCCTTGCCGTGGTTTATCTACATCTTTCTCTCTGTTTATGCCTCTTCTGCAGATGATCTTTATGTTGATCAGGTGCCTCACTTCTAGCCTCATAATCAAACAGTATTATCTCCTTCCTATTGTTACATATATATATATATTCTACTTTGTTTAGCTTTTTTCTAGGCAGTCATTAATGTCTCTGTTGCTGTATCAGACACCACACGCTGCTGCCTCAAAGCTCTTCCTGATTTCTTTAAAACCGTTCCAAGTTTACAGGCTTGAGAATCAGAAGAAAAAACGGAAAAGGAAAGTTAACTATTCTTACTTACTGGTTCGCTCCTTTTTCTATCCTGTGGTGTAGAAGTTAGCAGAGAGATCGCCAGACATCTCTATCAGCAGTTTTTTTTTTCTGGCTTTGTTCCATTCCAGTCCTGTGTCAGTTAAGACTGTCAGATGTTGTCTTCACAGCAGACCCTGTAGGTCTGGTTCCCTGGTTCTTAGCCTCCCATGGTGGCCGATGTTTTCCCATTCTACATACATGTCCAAACCATCATAACTGTGACTGATCCACCCGAGTTTGTAAGGAAGTTAACTTTAAATAGATTATAATGTCATTCCTTATGTAACTGTGAAATTCGCTGTAATTATCATTGTTTGTAATCTTACAGGTGAGGTGGCCAAAAACCATGATATACTGCGGGAAGCTTACAGCCTGTGCTACCGCCTGCCAGTCCTTAGTTCTCAGAAGTTTAAGGAGGATTATTATACGGTTAGTGGTTATTTGTTACATTTTGGTGTCATAACAAAACTTTATGGGCTGTTTGATCAACATAAATATAGATTCTTTTATTACCATGTGAAGTTAATTTACTTTTAAATAAGGAGATGAATACATGAAACTACAAATGTCTTTGGCTGAAGTTTGTTTAAAAACTGGCGTAACATTAAAATTTGTTTCCTTATTTCAGCAATGTAACGATGTTTGCCTTATGGCCTATCTTGGTGCCATGACCAAAGGAAGCAACACATTGAATCAGGTAGTGCTTATATCTTGGTTTGTTATATACAGTTGTTGTACCTTAAATTGATTTGTTAAGTATTATACAGTTGAAAAAAAAGGTTACAGTCGAGAGGATTGACTTCATTGCGCCATATTTGATCCCATATGGCTTGGTCTCTCTCTCTCTCTCTGCAGAACAGCTAGCTGCCTCTCGAGAGCACGAGCTCCATAGCTCATGTGACAATCCCCAGGTCAGATCCTAGTGACTTCTTGCTTCATCTTTCTCTGGAGACTGATGTGCCTTCATACTGTTCACTCATCCCTAAAGGGCTTTGAAAACATCTAGCTTGTCATGCATCAGTCTACCATCAGTTGGGGCAGAACCAGCCCAGTCTGTCTGCCTAATCGTTTCCCAACATACCTACATATCCTGGAGAAGATAGCCTAAAGACGCTAACTGCAGGAGACCTTCGAAGTGATGCTTGCCACCTTACAAAGTATATCTGTCACTGCCTTCCTCAGCATGTTTTATGAGTCAGTTACAAATACGACAAGAAAAGTAACGCTGTAACCAACTATACATGTTGTAAAGGGTATCAGAGGCTGATTGGCCTGAGTCAAGCAACCTCATCCTTTGAAGAACTTAACATACTAAATCCATTCAATCATAAATAAATATGTAAAGGACTTGCCAGTGAATGAGTTGATGCCATTGATTAATTCATAGGTGACGGAAGAATAAGAAGAGAGTACTCACAAAGCACTGACAGTATTTATAACTTTGGACCCATTTTATTTGTATTGATAACTCACTAGTCCAGCTTTGGGCTTCTGATTTAAAAAAAATCTTAAAAATTCAGCTGCTAATAAGAGATTGGGGCCTCACCATATAATATTCTCAACAACAGGTGTAAGTATATCTGTAATTTGCCTTGGTAGTTTGGAAAGGGGTCAGTAAAAAAAAAAAATTTCCTGCTTTTTGTGCATCTGTCATGTGGTACTAGACTTATATTTTCATAGGCCATTCTGAGCTTCATGGGCAATATTGTCAGTATCATGCTGGTCGTCTTTACTTGCTAGTAAATTTTCTTACCCACTTTAGGCTAGGAGCCGGGATACGCTGGTATCCAAGGGAAGGAAAAGCTGATATGCTTGCAATTAGGGCTGCTTTGGAGGGCGGACGAGCTGTGGACCAGGCTGATATACAGAATGCTCTACTTCCTGTGTAGGTTCCAGGGCCCCATTTCTTCCCCCATCAAGCATGTCGTAAAAAAGATACTAATTTGGGGTGTTTTCTTTGAAGTCAGAGTGTGTCTGCCTGAGAGGCAAGGAACTAGCAGTTTGCATACAAATAAGCCAGATTTATCAAATGAATGGGCACGCATAACTCAAATCCTGGATCAAGACTAGGGTCCAGAAGTGGACGAACAACCATAACTGTCTGCCGGTGTAGTAGCAGGTGAATGCGAAAAATAATAATGCTCTACAACAAGTAAGACATTTGTGGGAACCAAATGACTTAATCTGCAGCCATGACCAGACTTCAAGAACAACAAGTTAAAATGGATGTGACCAGATGAGTACTATGCATAAAGCCAATGAAGAAGAAGTAACCATCACAGAGCTGGTGTTGTCAGTCACCGAACGCTGCAGGATTTACTGAGGAGGTGATCTGAGCACATGGACTAAATGGTGTAATGAGGATAATCTGTCGACTAACAAAGATGCCTGGAAAATGGTGGACAAGGGTCTAATTACTGTGTGACTGATCTGGGTCATTTACCTTTTATTATTTATGAAAGTCTGCATGAAACAAATATTGTTTAATCTCAGTTGGTTTGTAAATCTTTCTTCCGCAGTTCTTGAACAAGTTCAATGTACTCTACGACAAAGGAATGGGTAGAAGAATGCGGGGATTATTTTTTTGAGTGCCTGATCATTTTGCAAACTTTGAGCATCATTAATACGTTCTTAATACGTAATTACATGTGATGTAGATGTGAAGATGTGTGTTTGCATTGACTTTTTTTGTTACGATAACCCTCTGAAAGATGTTTAGCCTTTCTTTCCCAGTTTTGGATTTATGCAGTGTTACTTTTGAAGTATTTTAGAGAAGTTTAGGTTTGTTACTGTTCGATTCTTATAGAGAAACAAATTAAAAAGTTGTTTTCTGGATGACTTTTAAGTGAAACAATACTTGTTGCTAGCTGCTTGCATGTTTGCCCGAAGGTCTTGGTTTTGAATTCACATCAGGGTGGACCTTTCTTTTAAATCCTATTTGACCCAGTGTAGATTGGAAATATCTTAGTTGCCTGTTTATTTACATAGTTACTTAAGTTAGTTGATCCTTATCTACCTTGGGATGTAGATGTTTGCCCGAGAGATTGCCAGTCTTCTCTATCAGCAGTTTTCTCTTTGGCTCTGTTCCATCCCAGTCCTCCGTCAGTCAGATGTTGGACCACCTTTCTCACATACCTCATATCTGAGGCCTGAAGCTGGCCCCTGTGAGCTGTTCTCATTGTCCATGTCTCACACCTGTAGAGGCCAGGACTGGCACATAGGTAGAGCTATACAGCCACTTTCATCCTTTTTCCAGTTTCTCTTTTGCTCAGAAACCTTTGGTTTAGGACCTGGAAAAGTCTCCAAGTTGCTGCTTTTTGAGTAGCCAGTTCTGATTGGAAATATCCTTGGGAAGTAAATGTGGTGGGTGTGTTATTGGCCACATCATCCATCAAATGCCGATTGGTCTGTAAAATTATGGACTAAACACCCAAGTGTGCCAGTAGTGTGAGAAGGATCCTTGTACATTTTACAAAACACTTTTTGGCTGTGGAAAGTAAACACATGTGTGAAGCAGAGACAGAATTGCTACATTATGCTTTAGACACTCATGTCATTTACAGGTTTACATCTTTCTGATGTCAACACTATGTGATGCTGTTAGTACTCAGCAAATGTAGCTTATTTTATAAAGGTCAGCTTTGCTTCTAGAAAATAGAATTAGATTTAGCTAAACATGGTTCATTATATGTAGGAAAGACTAACGGTGGCCTTTTATGGAATCCTGACTCATAGGTGGACCGTTTGATTGGTTTGATTTCAACAGCAGATAAACATCATGGCACATGAGTAGTAGCCTATAAGTGCTTTATTCTACTTCCAACTCAAGCACAGTGCACGAACTCAGTAGCACCAGCGAGGATCCTGGAGTATTTTTGGTAGATTTTAAACTCCAAATTTTGCCCGGGAAGCGCCGTTAGGCAACTCTTTTAGATTTCCAACTGCCAAGGGATTTTTTTACGTGCGCAACTGTAGACGCCGGCGTCGGATCTTACTACCCAGAGACCAGGGGAAATTACTAGAAGTCCATGTGAAAAATCCCACCTTAACCGGGACCTCTAGCACTCAAGGCAGCACACCATGGGGATTATTGAAAGCGGAGATTAATAACCCTAAACTGTTCACATTTGAGAGAACAATGGAATAGATGCACTGCCACTTAACAAGTATGTAATAAAATGCAATAATTAAGGCTTTGCTGGAATGAGATATGTTGGACCAAAAGGTTCTGCTGTCACATCCTAGCTGAAACACAACACAGTCTGCCAACTGCACTTTTAAGGTCGAACACAGAAAAATTAAAACAAATGTAGGCAGAAAAATTAGTGGATGTTGAATTAAGAAATTAACATCATAGCACTCGAGATACTCTCATTAGCACTCCGTCCCCATCTTCAGCAGCAAGCGAAGAGTTCCAGTTCCGACGGCACCAGTAACTGTCTGAATAAATATCCATCTTGATTGTTGAGTGTCGGCCAAATCCCCTGGTAACTCCTCGCAGCGCCATTCTCCTCAGACCATAATGATCTATATGTGCCGCCGCACTGTTCACTCGCTCCCAAATTACCCTAACAAAATCTATTTTTTCATACATCAGTTCACCTCCACTCTCAAACTAGGCATTGTGATTTCATATGCCAGGCTTGGCTTGCACTAAACAACGTTCATCAGCTTTTGCTATTATTTTGAATAAGTGAACCACGGATTAACATCACTTTGCTCGGAACATTCCCACAGGTACTCTGTGCCAAAATTGAATCACATGTCTTAATACAGGACCCAGATTCACCAAAATACTCTTCATAAGATATATAATCTAGTCATCCCTTTGTCGGATGCAATTTTTCGTTATTTGAAGCCCTACCGTGAGTTTTGTCGGGGGCCCTGAATATGGCCTAAACAGCTGAAAGGGGTTTTTGGGACCTCTCCACGGGTGATCCTTATCCGCATGGTGTCACTTTGTGTCACTAGGTGTTAATCGCTTGTATGATGTCCTGGTGGGGTACAGCAAGAGAGAGAGATATGTATTGTCATCACAACTTTAAGTCTGACATCACAACCTTGATGTGGCATAAAGCTTATCAACATAAATTTCAACATAATACACAGACTCCATAGCCCTAGATAGGGGTTCCATTGTGTTTATACCAAACTTGCCTCTGATTACTGTCGACTGTGACTGCTGTCTGTTTTACCACTTTCCAGGGTGGTGCTGTCTGTTTTACCACTTTCCAGGGTGGTGCTGTCTGTTTTACCACTTTCCAGGGTGGTGTAGACAGAAGGATCATGAGCCAGAAGATTTAGGGGCCACACCGCTAGTGCTGACGCCGTGAACTGTGCAGGTTACGATCTCTGATTACTGAAGTATTTTATTTGTAGGTAGGCGTTTAAAAAAATTGCTGCCCACCCTGGGCAGCAGTTTATTTAGCATACGCTTGTCGATACAATAGGTGGACCAGTATGCACATTGTAAGTAAGTAAAAGTAAAGATCCCTTTTCACACCTTAGGTGCATCAGGTTAGTGGAAAGAGCGTCCCATATTTTTACAGACCAATCAGCACTAAATAAGTAAACTGTCAGCATTACGCCAGCCGTCTTTACTTCCCCAGGACAAACATCCTGGTACCCATACTTAGGCTGGGTCGACCTGCGACGCCCCATACCATGATAAAAATCCACGCAGTCAGCAGTGGGTTTCGATCACCATTTAGGAGTCGGGCTCACAACGCCTAAGCCACATATGCACATTGTGTGTGTGTTCAAAATTCCCTGGCAGTTTTGTTTCAATTTTTGGTTTATTACCGGATATGGTTGAAAGAATTTCCTCTAAATTTCGCCTGTATGAAAATGTTGTTTCCTGACATTGTGAGTGTACTGACCTATACATATTATAATGACTTCCATTTGACGATGCTCACAGGGTTTGAGTTTGTTGGTGAGTTATCTTGTCTGATGAGTTTTTGATGTCTGTTGTGTGTATCGGTTGAGACTATGCTCTGATTGTATTAAAAACTCAGTGAAATAAACAAAAATGAGAGAAAATTGGCATTGGTCATTGAATGCATTGTTTGCTTGTTTGAAACTGGTTTTCTTACTGGCATAATTAGCATTAAGGAGCGGCTGGCTGAGCTCTTCGAATGTGCCAGATCTGGGTTTAGAATCCTTGGAAAGGCGGTGGAAGTTTGTTATCAGGGACATACAATGGTCCTAACATTCCCAATTTCCCCATGTGGGTTCCAGGGCCAGATTGTGGGGGAAAATAAGAATAGACTCACTGCCTCCCTAACAAACATGGAAGAGTTGACTAACTGGGAGCTTCCATCGAATTCTGAGATAATCTGCTTGAGAGGCAAGGAACCAGCAATCTGCATACAGTTAAGTCAGGTCAGTAAAACGGATGTGCACACAACACTCAGGTTCTTTAATAAGACTAAAGTCCAGAGGTGAACAATTAACCAGAACTTTCTGCTGGAGTTTACAGCCGGTGAACACGAAGCAGAAGATTCCCAATGTGTGGGGACTGTAGCCATGTGGCTTAAGTCCACAGAATTATGATCTGTTTCGGCCCTGCATTTATGGAAGCTTCTAATCCCGAAAGAAACACCTCACAAGGACACACCTGAATGAGGTGTTCCTTTATGCAGATCATCCTAGTCTATGATTAGACTGACAGACATGGTAACTCGCAACAACCCAGAAATGAACATTAGCAACCACTGAAATGAGGAGGGCTTCAGGAGGGGATAAAATCAGAAATGCGGCCATAAGAGAAACAAGTCGACACAGAACTAATTTTTAATTATATACAAAGACAGCAAATCAAATAGTTTGCCCACTTAGAGAGAATTCCTTGTAATGCCATACAATACAAGGCATACACCAGAATAGGAGAAGGACGTAGAGCATACGGGAGCAAAGAACAAAATGGAAAAATAGCATCAGAGAAACGAGAAACTTAGTCTTAGTCAAGGTTTCAACTGCACTGGAATCGGGTCACCCCATGCTTGCTCCTTTCCTGTGCCAGCGAAAATTAAAGAAAATGCCCCTCACTATTGCATTTGAGAAACTCTACAACAGCACAATGTCTATAATATGATCGAGGCGGCCAGATAATCAAAGACAGAACCTTGTACTTCCTCCACACCCGAAACGGTAAAAGAGAAAGTGAGGAGGCCTCTTTGGTTGGTAGGAATGCCCCGATCTTTCCTAGAAGGCTGACCGGAAAGCTTCACCTGACTCAGTGCGAACCAGATGGCACCACAACAATGAGGTTGTGCAATCTCGCATAAAGAAAGTTAACCCAACCCCCGTGTGGATTACCTACTATGGGAAAAACAAGAATAGACCCACTGTTTACCCAAAAGCATGTCGTAAGAGTCGACTAATTGGGAGATTTCTTCGAAGTCAGAGTGCATCTTCCTGAGAGGCAAGGAACCAACAGTCTGTATACAGATATGTCAAACTGATGCACACGCAACACTCAAGTTCTGGAACAGGACTGCAGCCCAGAAGTGGACGAACAACCAAAACTTTCCACCGGAGTTTACAATTTACAGCCGGTGAACGCGAAGGAGAAGAAGAAAGTTAA